AGGGGGGTTGGGGGGGGGGTTCTCTTACCTCCACAAATGGTAAAACAACAGGGGAATATTCAGTCCCAACGTCACCCATTCAGCTGCGCAGAGAAACATCAGACAGAAAAGGCCGTGGATGGAGTATTCGGGGACCACGAGCTGTTGGAGAAGTTCAAATCCACCATCAGATCCAAGCAGATGACCTTTTTTCTCTATTTTCATGGTTTGCAACCGCTTAGAAGCCCAACAATGACAGAGCGATAACCAAACAATACAGCTTCTTTCTCCAGCACAGAATCCTTCTCCTAATAAATGGATTTATTCGATGCGCTCTTCTAACGATTCTCATCGGAACAACCCTGCCACCGTTATCCAAGGGACTTTGCAGAGAAGCCACGGATTTTTCTTTTCATTTTACGCTTACGGAATGAACAAGGCAACCTTTCATCTTAAAGAAAAAATTCAAAAACGCAGACTAAAAATGCAAACTAAGAACGAAGAGGAGAGAGAGAGAAAATCGACCTTATATTTCATACTGATCGATAGACGCTGGTTGACTCATGAATTCACGACTATCGTACGAAGAGTGCAGAATTTTATGGTAAGGGATCACAACATCTCTGCCCTAAACCTCGCGTTTATCGGACCTGAGATGGTGACGCTGTCAAATATCACTTGATCAGAAATCGCAAGTCAAATTAGCTAACATTTGGTTTCTAGCCCTGATCTGCTTTTGCAAGAATCAATCATAATGCAATCATAATGCACTATAATAATGCATTATAATAAAGCGAGGATGAGGATGATGAGATCAGCCATTTCGACATATAAGGAGGGGCAAATTAAGGGGTAAAATTTGGTTTTTCTTACACCAGGCGGAACTATGCATTACCCAACCCCTTTCGGGCAATTTTGTCCAAACCGAGCCACCGCGTCGAAGCAGGCATGTGAACCTTCCCCATTTCTGACCCCAAAGCGATAACCGGTTCGTTCATTCGTTTCAGTTTAATGTAGACTGACAGAAACAAGCTGCGATGGACTTGAAAGAGGAACAGACTTCACTTTGTAGCGTGTGCGAACGTATATTTATATATATATACACACAGCCACGCAAGAATAACCCTTGGCGGTGGCCGCCCCCATTACCCCAGGGGTTCACAGCTCATTCTAGCAAAACAGATCTTTGTTAGGAACAAGAGTGTTGTGACAGATTTTATTTATATATAACTGGTTCCATTTCATATCTAAATTTGAAATATAAATAAATAAATAAATATTGATGAGAGAGAGAGAAGGAGGAAGATAGATAGATGGATGGGTAGGTGGATGGATAGAGAGATACAGAAGATGATGGATGGATGGATGGATGGATGGATGGATGGATGGATGGATGGATTGTAGATAGAGGTAGAAGGTGGATGGATAGACATAGAAGACAGAAGAGAAGACAGACAGTCAGATGATAGATAGATAGATAGATAGATAGATAGATAGATAG